TTGAGGACTGGGTGGGGATGGTTAGTCACGCCCCTATGGTGAAGAGGCTCATTGATTTCTAAATTCCCTTTCGTTGGGTCTTGATTAGGCCTATTGTTTGGGCTAAGGCTGAATAGCTACTTTCAGTTAGCCTGATCAGCATGTCTATGTCCCTTACTGGTCAACAAGTTATTGTAAATAGGAGACAGGTTAAATCTGATACCTCCTTCACGGTTCAGAGAGGGTGAAAATTTTTTAACAAAAATGGGGGTAAAAGAAGCGATTTTTGTTAAAAAATTTTCACCCTCTCTGAACCGTGAAGGAGGTATCAGATTTAACCTGTCTCCTATTTACAATAACTTGTTGACCAGTAAGGGACATAGACATGCTGATCAGGCTAACTGAAAGTAGCTATTCAGCCTTAGCCCAAACAATAGGCCTAATCAAGACCCAATGATAGGGAGTTTAGAAACCAATGGGCCTCTTCACCATAGGGGCGTGACTAACCATCCCCACCCAGTCCTCAAACAGGCCACGCTCAGCTTTTTAGCGCAGAGCAACTTCCCGGAGTCTTCACGGAGACTTCAGGGTTGTCTACCGCTGACGAAGCTTCTGTGAGAGAAGCGAAACGTCCTTTTTTGCTTTTTTTTGTTTTTTTTTGTTTTTTACCCACAGGTACAGATGACGACTGACAGAACCCTTTCTACGATGGAACTTTCCTGTACGACTGAGAGCCTCCACAAGCATCTTGTAGATAAGTAAGCATTCTAAAAGGCCTCGTTGGGTTAACATATTTCATTATATTCACCCTCATATGCACCTTGTAACCTGATAACATGATAAGCTGTCCACTGTAGTAACCGCTGTCCCTGAAAGAGTTAATGTTGTGAAACTTGAAGAAAATTTAACATGCAATACAATTCTAGTGCATACATGTAAGGCATACCAGTAGATCTTTCATACACCGTAGATACAGTAGTCAATACATTTTGCCGGTAGCTCATTCATCATTTGCCAGTGGCCAGGCCACCCATCCGTCATCATCAGTCCGTCATTATTTAAAGCCGGACCAAGATTGTCAACATCAGTCACAAAACAGAACTTTTTTTTTATCTGCACATGTAAGTCAATTCCCCGTGGAATTATGGGAAAAATACAGAACGGAAATCATGCACTGCAGACATCTTTTAAAATAAATTAAAATTGCTAATAAACAATGTTTACTTAATTTTCCAACTTATTGGTATAATTTAAGGCTCAAGGCTAAAAACATTGCATGTTTTTTTTTTTGTTTTTTTTTTTACTTGCGCATGCGCAAGTCAGTACCCCGCAGCATTATGGGAAAACATGTTTTTAGTATTTAGCCTAGTTTTATCAATTATTTGCAACGTAAAAAAGGGGCAGGCTTAGAGAATGGGAACTAAGAATTAGCAGCCAACACAACCATAGTTCACCAAATTGACAGGCGATGTTCAAAGTTTGTTTTCTGTCGGAGGACAGGGAGCCACTCCTTTGCTCCGTTCAAAGCAATCCTGGTGTAGTAGCCCCCTGCAAACGAATACATGCAAAATGCGCGGCACGTGTTTCCGTCACTCGTCAGCGAAAAGGGAGCTCCTCAGTTAAGGTGCTGATCGGGTAGTGACGATTCCAGTGACGGACGAAAATACACTTCCATTGGCGCTTAATCCAGCAACTTTTTTGAAATTTTTGTCATTCACCAGAAAAACGTGAGTCCATCAGTCCTGATGGAATGCCACACTCTAGTATGTTATGTTATCATTCAGCGTTATAGAGATATATGTCATGGTCGATATTAATTTTCCCAACAATTGTACATACTGCAGCATAATTAGACTTTTTACTTATATTACTATTTGACTTTACACCAACATGAAGCATCACAACCTTCCTACCGTGGCAGCAGCTCAAATGGTCTTTTCCATTTGTGTTCACAGGAGCAAAGTTTCCCATCAAGTGGACTGCCCCAGAAGCTATAAACTTTGGAACATTTTCCATCAAGTCTGATGTATGGTCCTTTGGGATCCTCCTAACAGAAGTAATCACATATGGCCGCATACCATACCCCGGTAACCATTTATTTGCATTTTCTTTACAATATTTACACAAATTCCTTCACAATAACCACACGGGTAATTGACTGTTCTATCAATGTTCAGGTATGTCCAACCCTGAAGTGATCCAGAACCTGGAGCAGGGCTACAGGATGCCAAAGCCAGAAAAGTGTTCAGATGGACTTTATAATATTATGTGTCTCTGCTGGAGAGAGAACCCGGAAACTAGACCCACCTTCGAGTACCTGAGGAGTGTTTTGGAGGACTTCTTTATTGCCACAGAACGTCAGTATCAGGAGTAGCCTTAACTGCACCAAGTCACATTCCGACTGTAAAGGCCTGGTTGATGTCTGCCTGATGCAATGCTTCAGCTCTATTTTTCATCACAGTTGTCAAGGGGACATTTTACCGTTGTTGTCCTCATAAATGTGTTACTTTTATTGTCTTTATTGTATAATAAAAGAATCGTTGAATGATTTGACTTTTTTAATGAGCAGCAGGTTTACAGACACACACATCTCAGTCCCTATTTTCGTGCACAGAGCAATTTTAGCTAGCGCAAAGTTCAGTCAAAGTTTTCATATGTGGATCAAATCCACCAAAACCACGTTACACCACCTGCACCACAACTTAGACCTGGTTTTACCTGGTCTAAAGTCTAATCTACTTTCTGTCACCAAAATGTCATGTGCACCAGGTCTGTGCAATGGAAATTAGAAGTTCCCAGCCTTGGTGAACTAAACATACCTGGGCACGAAAATACACAACTTTTTACAGAGCAGACGTCCGCCTGTCCTGATTATAAAAATAGGGTCCTCCTTTATATGCAATTCATTAAACTGTTAAACTGAAAGCTATCACTTACTTTAAACATGAACTGACAAGATTTTAATTTGTAAATCATGTTAAGAGCCCCAATCAGAATAAACATAAACGTCAACTTAAATTCTATTTATGTTCCTATAGCTGTCACAGTTCCAATCTCATCACAGGTTACGTTTGAAAACATTACCGTTACATATACATCCCGAAAACAAACAATTCTTCGAGTACAAAGCTAGAGTTGTTTTGGAAAAGATATTGGCTGCTGCTGCAACAAAACATTGCGCAGGACCATTTTTTTAATGAATCTTTATTCGAACAAGTCATAGTACAATTCTCAATAAACAGAAAACAAAATGAACATGTTATTAATACATACACATTGCGCAGGACCATGATCCTGAAGAGGCAGCCAGTATGACGCTAATTTAAGACACAGCAGAGCCGCGGCTTACGCACTGTGCACCGTATGTGTTGATATAACTACCTTTCAGAAAACTACCTACAGAAAAAAATAAATAATAAATCTTGTACTGCTGGTGTCATGTAAATTAATCTATCTTTGAAATCTTAAACACCTATCTTGGTTTTAGCGGGTTTGAAATGTAAAGTTGAAGAATGTCAAACATCTTGATATTTTTTGTATTTATTTTGTTTAGACACACTGGCATGCAAAATTTCGGGCGACTTTCTGGATGCAAAAAGCAAAGAATAAGAAGAATGGAGACTCTGAAGGAAATTGTCGGCCCCTTTTGGAGGCAAGGAGCATTTACATGCCATCCGTTTGACCGCTTAACAAGTCGTCCGTCCTCCTCTTGTCGCCGTAGTCTCCCGCGGGTGAGCAGTTAAAGCAAACCAAAAAGGACTAAAATGGCGCTTAGTCAAGGAACAAAGAAAAAAGTTTGCTACTATTACGACGGTAAGTTCCATCGTGTCCGAGTGCTTGGAATCGAGTGCCGAGAGATTCACGCAATGGGCAGTTTATCGCCATCAAATGTTTGTTTAAATTTCCTCACTTGCTCATCGCGCACGCTAACTACATAGCTAGCTTAAAGCTGTAGAGCTGCTTTCATTGTCATACTGAGGCACACGAGACAACGCTTGACCCAGTCGTGTTAATTTAGTGTTCGTAAACGCCATGCCATAAAATGCGTTATTGGCGTATTTTGAGCACATTTTAGCCATTCTGCATGTGCTCATTTGTTGCTTGAGCTAACAATGGCGATATGAGCGCTTCATTGTCAACATAACGCGTAGCTAGCATCAGCGGAGCTCGTTTCGCGGAAAGGGAACACATTTCAATCAAATGTTACATGCACACGAATGTTACTCTCCGCGTCGGTTCCGAAACCCATATGTTTCTTTCAGTCAAAGCTATTGTTTTCACCTGTAAGCGTGTGCAAAATCAGACCGCCGTGCGTACATTTCGGGGCAGTTTTAAAATGCTAAAAAAAAAAAAAGCGTCACTTGGGGTTATTGTCAGAAAACTACGAGCAATCGTTCTTAAAATTCACATGCTCATATGTTCTTACGCCCACTCCAACCTCTGGAAATATCAAAACAATCGCCTCAGTGTTTTGGAATTTATGAGCATTAAGCTTTTTCCTCCTCATATGCGTTCACTGTAGAGAAAAACCTTAACGAGGCTTAATGTTAGAAAACTACTACCAATCGCCACCAAAATTCACGTTGACATCTCTGCCTATGCTCACATCGATATCAGAAAACATAAAAACAAACGCACTTGATTTGAGATTTTATGGACTGTTTTCCTCTCCATTGGCGCACACTCAAACCTTAATGATAATAAAATCCAAAATATGGAGGTGATTGTTTTGATATTTTCATGGATTGGTGTGGGCATAGATAGAAATGTGCACATGGCTGTAGTTTTCTAACATTAAGCCTCGTCAAGCTTTTTCTCAGTTGTGAATGTATTTGGGTAATGAAAAAGCTTAAAGCCCGTAAATCCCAAATACTTTGGCGATTGGTTTGATATTTTCAGAGGTTGAAGTGGTCTTAGGTAGAGATGTACATTTAAATTATGGTGGCGATTGGCTGTGGTTTAAAAAAAATACACTCAGTAACCATTTTAGATTGTCCCTGGAGTTCATCCTCATTCACTAAAGCTTTGCACAGGAATGTCCTGTGATGCGGTTTAGGTGTACGCTTCCTTTGAATGATTTTCACAGTACTTGCTCTCATTTCAGGTGATGTTGGAAATTATTACTATGGACAGGGTCATCCCATGAAGCCCCACCGCATCCGCATGACACACAACTTGCTGCTCAACTATGGCCTCTACAGAAAGATGGAGATATATGTAGGTTTTAGGGCTGAACGATTTGGAAAAATTGCCTAATTACAATTAGAGCTGTGAACTGACTAAACACTTTGACTTGCAGGCTTTTAAGCGTTCACTACAACGTCACAAAATTCTTCCAAATGTGACATAAAAAGTCATAAATCATCTTAAAACAATGTGAACAAATTTGTGGCTTTATCTCTAACTTTTCATGTTTGATGAAATCATTGTGAAAAGGTGGATTGCACTTAAGCACTAAACTTATCTACACCCTGTGTATATGCAGTCTATTAAAAAAAAAACAAGTCTACTGAACAACCAAAAGGAAGCTTTTACCCCCCTCCAAATTGCAGCCTTTGCGATTTGACATCATGCTGCATGGCGATGTCATCTTGAATTCGATTAATGGTTCAGCCCTAGTAGGTGTTAAATACAGAACAGTAATTGTGCTGATTAATTATGGGGGCTTCAGAGTCTTGTTTTATGTTTCTCTTATGTTGCTTGCAGCGTCCACACAAAGCCAGCGGCGAGGAGATGACCAAGTATCACAGTGATGATTACATCAAATTCTTGCGCTCCATCCGTCCAGACAACATGTCAGAGTACAGCAAACAGATGCAGCGGTGTAAGTTGAAGCACTCAGTCTTTGCAGCATTCCTTTAGGCTCACATGCAGAATATTTCTCACTGTTTGCCTTTCTGTTACCCCTCCAGTCAATGTAGGAGAAGATTGTCCAGTATTTGATGGCTTGTTTGAGTTTTGCCAGCTCTCAGGAGGCGGCTCTGTTGGTAAGATTGTGCCGGACTTCTGTCATTACAACTTGTTAACTTTGATTAAATCAGGGTGCTAATTCGTACATCCGCTCTCCGCTTCAGCCGGTGCTGTCAAGTTGAACAAACAGCAGACAGACATAGCGATCAACTGGGCAGGCGGTCTGCATCACGCCAAGAAGTCTGAGGCCTCTGGGTTTTGCTACGTCAATGATATTGTCCTGGCTATACTGGAGTTACTCAAGTAAGCACACAAACTTGGCACCAAGCCGTAAGTGACTAAATATTAGCTTTCTAAATCAATAGGTAAAATGAAAATAAGACTGAGATTACACTACCTTTTTTTGGATAGCCAATTAGATTGTTAATCATACAATGAGGACCACTTGCATTTTGCATTCAATACAATGGCTCAATCTAATGTTCTCTCTTTTAAAAGGTAATAATGTTCAGTGTGAGTGACGCTGACTTTGCTTTTTAAAAAAAGAGTATTTTTTTTTTTTATTATTGTGGTTTTAGTTTGGCAGTAGTTTCGCACTGTATTGCCATACGAGAGCTATGTATTTTAGTTAATTCAATTAGTTACATGACTCAGAAATATTAGAAACATCTCTGTGTGATACCGTACATTTCTACACTACTGCAAACTACAGCTATAGTTTTAAGCATCTTGTTAAATGCTTACCTCTCTGTCAGTGAATCATACTGTGCAAGTGTTCATCATGTGTCTGGTGTCCAGCAGATGTCGGGAGTGAACACAGTCCTGTTAAAATGATCTTTTTCTGATCTTAAAAACAGTGTCACAGAATCTGAGGAACAGTAATCTACAACACTGCTTTTGTGTTTTAGGTACCACCAGAGAGTTCTCTACATAGACATCGACATCCATCATGGAGATGGTGTGGAGGAGGCATTCTACACCACAGACCGTGTCATGACTGTGTCATTCCACAAGTATGGAGAGTACTTCCCTGGCACTGGTGACCTGAGAGTATGTATTTGACAAGCAACACTCTCTGTCAAAATAACTAAATATTGAAGTGACGCTCAATTGGTCCTCTGCAGGACATTGGTGCTGGGAAGGGCAAATATTATGCTGTGAATTACCCTCTGAGAGATGGGATTGATGACGAGTCTTATGAAGCCATATTCAAGCCTGTGAGTAGATGAAACAGCCATGTCTGATTGAAAGAAGCATTTTGAAGTGGATGTTCTTGTCTTGTGTAGATCATGGCCAAGGTAATGGAGATGTACCAGCCCAGTGCTGTGGTTCTGCAGTGTGGCGCAGATTCTCTGTCAGGCGATAGACTCGGCTGCTTTAACCTCACCATTAAAGGTAGCGAGACATGGCCTACTTGGCTGCAAGCACAAATTTCTCTAACAGCCTTATGATGTTCCCACAGGACATGCCAAGTGTGTGGAGTACATGAAAAGCTTCAACCTGCCTCTCCTCATGCTGGGAGGAGGCGGCTACACCATCCGAAATGTCGCACGCTGTTGGACTTATGAAACCGCTGTCGCTCTCGATACGTCAATCCCGAATGGTACGTACTCATTCAAGAGGTGTTGTCATACCGTATACCATCCAGTGCAAATCAAACACCGGGCTGTTGATTATCATTCAAGAATGAATTAATTTTAACTTGTGCTGCTGTTGATTTAAATACTGCCTCACTTTCTATCTACTGGTGTGCTACTATTAGCATCCGGTAGATGAAAATAATTTGTTGTGATTTTTTTCTCCTCCCGTTTTCATTTCACCTTGCTTTTTTTCCATTCGAACCCTCTCAGAACTCCCATACAATGACTACTTTGAGTACTTTGGGCCAGACTTCAAGCTGCACATCAGCCCCTCCAACATGACTAACCAGAACACCAATGATTACCTGGAGAAGATAAAGTAAGTCTACTGAAGCAGTGCTTCCCAAACAGTGTGCCACAATTGTGCCTAACTAACCAATTTTGCTAAATTTGTCCCCAAATTTATCTCCCCACAAATGTATCCTTTTAAATCTATATGTTGTGTGCCAGTAGTGTTTTTTGACAAGCAAAACAATTAATGTTCTTCTACTGGATAGCAGACGATTGTATCCATTTTTTTTTTCTTTTGGTGACCTTTTTATGGAAGAGGTTAGGGGTGACCTGTGAGATTTGTTTGGGGGTTTTATCCGGGTACTCCTGTTTTCTCTCACACTCCAAAAACATGCATGAGAGCTTAACTCATTCACTCCCAAAGACGTACGTATTTAGATGTCTTTTCAGACGCCACACATTTAATCCCACACATTTATTTGTTTGATCCCACACATTTATTTGTTTGAACCTGAAGGCGAGAGGTTAGTGAATTTTATTTATAAAGCTGTGACATGGGTTGTGTCCTCCAGGCAGCGTTTATTTGAGAACCTACGCATGCTGCCCCACGCTCCAGGGGTACAGATGCAGGCCATCCCTGAAGACGCCGTACAGGAGGATAGTGGAGACGAGGAAGAGGAGGATCCCAACAAACGCATCTCCAGTATGAATCTGTTGGCATTTACTGATCAAAAACATGAGATCAACGGATCAATCAATCAAATCTGAACATGAAAATCCATTCAAGAGCCAGAGCTTTAATGTAACCCCCCGTCCTTTGTGTATTCAGTCCGTGCTCATGACAAGAGGATAGCGTGTGAGGAAGAGTTCTCTGACTCGGAGGATGAAGGTGAAGGAGGTCGCAGAAACACAGCCAACTTCAAGAAGGCCAAGCGAGCCAAGACCGAAGGAGAGAAAGAGAGTGAAGAAAAGGAGAAGAAAGGTGAGGAGGAAACAAAAGGTATTTACTCATTTTTTTGTTTCCATTCTCATCTCACCCAGCGTACCAGTGCTGTGTATCACTTGACGCTTCAGTTTGTTAGCCATCTGTCCGAATCTTCATTGGGATGCCTCTTCCGAAAACTGACTGCCACTAAAACGAATGAAATTAAACTTTTTAAGGACTCCCTTGGCAGCCGTGTTCTTCTGTTTGCTGAGATGTTCACTCTTTTAATGTGTCATTGTCAGACGTGCAATATTGTAATTGAACTAGTACTCATGAGCGGTATGTTGTGCATTCAAATTGCCGAATTTACCAAGTGAGACAGTGATTTTGCATTGCAGTAATAATGTACAGTGGAACTTCAAGTTTTGAACTTAATTGTTTCCTTGAGCCGTTTTTTAACTTTAAACGTTCATACATAATTCCATTGAAATAAATGGAAATTCAATTAATCCGTCCCAGCCAATAAAATGAAGTTACATTTACTTAAAAAAAAAAAAAATTAACCAGTGTTTGGATAAAAATAAATATAATGAAATATAAATTAGTGAAAACACATTATTAAAAAATAAGTATTTATTGCTCTTTACCAGTGGATGGGGGGGGGGGAAAGGGGGAGAGGACTTTGCTACTCCATTGAAAAAGACTCTTCTTTCATAACATGGAGTAAATCTGATTCAAGTGTTTCTCATGTGCGTTTTTTCTAAATCATTGATTGATTTTTGCCATACCAGCTTGGAGAAATTTGTCTTATTCTGTAAAGTGAGGTGTCACGTTGTCATGTAATAGATTAATTCACTATACATTTTCTTTTGATTCTTTTTATATTTTTTTTGTTTAATTTGCTTCGCTCATGCTATCGCGAGCGAGTGTTTTCTCATTTGTCTGTCTAAGAAAAACTAAAACGACCACCACAGATACATAGTCTAGTTACAAAAGGCGAGAGAATCTTTCTGCTCATGCATGGCAAGCGCTTCCAATTACAGTCCCCCTAGTAGTTCCCCTTTTCTGAGGAGTCATCTGATTGTTTTGCGTTTTGTTTACATGTTTGGCAACGGTTCAGCGTGTCTGTCCACACGGGACCAGCTTCCGCATTTATTCAACACGGCACTCTCTGGCGTCTGTGTTTCGGGGAATGTGTCATACGTAGGAAGAACCTTTGCCTCGCGACAGCACGCAGGGTCAGATATTTGATGTGATTAATTTAAGAGAAGCTATATTTCGATAAATAACACACTGTAAATAGTATATTACTATTTTTTTTTTAAATGAATGAAAGTGGAATGATTTTCAGATTTATCCCAGGCGATGTCTCATTCAACCACGATTAGATTTGTGATTGGATGATCAAGTATGCCCGCGACCCGACCTCGGATAAGCGGTAGAAAATGGATGGATGGATGATCAAGTATGCAAAGGTGGAACTTCCGCCTACGTATTCAACAACTTTCCGGTTCCGCCTTAAGCCGTGGAGGGATACAACAAGTTTACAACCATGTGTTATGCATGTTGCCAATGAATGGTTACGCAGGGCGAAGAAAAAACACAACATAGACTCATCCACTCTTCAATGCCAAGACCGTTCGTACATCGAAAATAGCACGTAAATGGAGGTCATTTCTCCACAAAACAAATTGTGTGTGTGTGTGTGTGTGTGTGTGGCTTGAATTGTACGTAAAAAGGGATGTTCATAACTTGAGGTTCCTCTGTATTTTATATTTCTTAATTAGTGGGCTACACCTGAAGGTACCAGTTTTATGTTTGAGCGTTTCCAGATGTCTACAGTTTGTATTTGAGAGTTTTAAAGTGGATTTGGCATGTTTAAAAAAAAAAAAAAAAGCTGTCAGAACCAGTCATCACTGCTGACATGTAAATGGTTGTTGGTTTTCGGGTTGCGATGGTGATTAATTATTGTTATTTTTTTTACTCCTGACAGAAGTCAAAGATGAGGAGAAGGCACCAGATGAGGAGAAAATGGACACATCAAAGTGAGAAAACACGTGTTGACACACATCCTGTCCAGGACGTCGTTCTAATCATGTCGCATGCTGCTCCTTTAGGCCAAAAGAGGAGTCGAAGACACCTTAAGGTCCTCCCCACCTAATGATGCCAGCGCTGGGAAGAAAAGATCTTAAAGCAACATTGTCTTTTTATACTTTGTGGTTGGAGGGAGGGGTGGGTTGCTTCCATGGAATAGGTTATAAACTGGGACAGGATTTTTTTTTTTTTTTTCTTGGACACTTTTCCAATATTATTGTGAGCTGAAATCAGAAAATTTGTTTTGTCAATGCATCTTCACCCAAACCTTTAATGTACCAACACTTGCATTTCCTGCGTCAGACAACTGTTTAAAAATGACTTGGTTTTATATCTCATGAATTTAACTTATTTAAATCATAGATATTTGGACTCTTTACCCCTTCCTTTTAAAAAACAACAAAAAAAAACATGTCTTTCAGTCCCAATTGTGTCCTGTGCCTTTGAGAGTATAGTTATTGCATGTTTGTATAATAGAACCTTTTCTATAATACTTCTGTCTCAGTAGTCTTCCCTGCTAAAATTTTCAGGAATTATTTGTGTACCTGTGCTTTTTTTTTCATTGCATATTTGAAAATTTCTGAAGTATTATTTAGCTGTGTACTGTAATTTGAAACACTGCAAAGATATCAGAAGTTTGGAAATGGAAAAATGGCAGATTGAGTGGTAATCCAGTGAAATCAATGCCATTTGTACTCTAAATGAGAACCTGCTTCAAATTGGCGAATCCTTTCTAATCGTTTTAATGAGATATTTGACTGATTCAAATAAAATTTATATAGAGACAATGTAGTATTTTTCTATAAAAAGTCAAATGAACAAGAAAGCTGACCACCCAGGTTTACCATTTTTAATACACAATTTGATCATAACACAAAATAACAGTATTTTATCAAGTAAAAAAAGCTTACATACGTAGGAAAAATATGAGACAAATGTCTATCACGCCAAATGTTGGTTCATCTTAGGCATCGCTTCTTCCCATTTTATTTGAATGGATGTGCTCAGAGCCAGTGGCTCTGCTCTGCTGCCGCACCGCTGCCCAGCAGCTCATCTTGCTCCACAGCCTCAGAATCAAGCTCGGTCGGCTGCTGCCTTGGAGGCGATTGGGGGACTGCGGCGGCCCTCTGGATGCGGACCTGGAACCGCACAACACTTGTAAAGCACTCGGGAGAACACTTGAAGATCATCTTGCAAGACTTGAACATGTCACCTTGGAACCCAGTGAGTGAGTGACAGTGAATTTCAGGTGACAAAACCGATGGATGTCTTAACCCAGTGAATGACTAATCTGGCTCGAGTTGGTATCATGGCATTTATGGAATATCACCATTAATATTTAATGGTGTGGTGTGGATGAATACCATATTCAAATGTGGTCAGTTTGTCCTATAAGTAATGTTAAATGTTGCTGGTTGTGTGCCTTGCTAAAGAGCAGTGCTCTCTCCCTTTGTTGCTTGTCTGAAATTGTACCACACACCCTCACCAAATAATCCTGAATGCAAATTACTAATTAATGTGGTTTTAATACGTAAGTATGTAACCAGTACAGCTCAGCCTCTTTTGTTATAAAATGTTTTAATATGAACATCTTAGCCTTAGTATGTTCCATTTAAGAAAATTATTTCTCTGACTTTATTATTAAAGTCGAGGTAAGAAGAGCTCAATCTCGATAATGTTCTAGGTGTAATCTGGAATGCCTGCATCAATCCCGAAAATTAAGAACAAATTACCCTCTTTGCGATGGTGGGCCTCCGCCTGCACGGACAGAGGTACAGGAATGACGTACAGGCAGCGAAGCAGCGGAAAGAGAACACCATTTCCACCACAGACATCAGGATAAGCGGCACCCACAATATGATTGTGGTGCTCTGATGGAGGAAAAACAAGATTGGGTAGAACTTTTCGGCGGACACTGTCTTTAACTTCTGTGTTTGTCCTCACATAGATGCGGGTGGGGTCAAAGGGGCATTCGTAGGTGACACTGGAAGATCCGACACCGTGTTTGAGGAGAATGCAGTGTGTCAGCAGGCTTCGTCCTTTGTGAACGATGGCGGTGACCACGGACGTTATCAGGCCCAAAGTGGAGGCAACAGCCAAGAGACCTGCTATGAAGCTGAATACCAGTAGGACCCACTTCTGCAGAGACATCACAGAATAACTCTCAGGTAGGCTTAAAAATAAGAGCCGCAAGTTAGGTGATATTTTTGAATTCCAAGACGCCGACATTGAGTCGTGGTGGGACCTCCAAAGCAGTAATAGTTAGCTCAACTTTGTGTCACTTTGAAGAGATTTGCCACCGAGGCACTAAATTGTCAAGTTTTACAGTGCATTGTGTCATATACCTTCATGACTGGAATGACTGCATCATCAATGGGTGACTTAGTTGAGACTTCTTTTCACTGTTTACTATGGATGCAAGTTTCAATTGATTGTGTTAATTCGCAGAAGCCTATTTGTTAAAGCAAAAAATATTTTCAGAGAGCATCCGGAATTGTTTTGGATTTGTCTTCAGCGGTCCCACTGAAGTTGTGTGTACTTCTTTGAGCGGTCTATTTGTCACCCTCACCGAACAGAGAAGACAAGTTATGATAGAAGCATGCAAAGACTGTGCAAAAGTAAAGCAAACAGTTCTCACCAAAATCTTGCTTTTCTTGTTTTTGGACAAGACAATTGCAATTATTCCACCAATAATTCCCTGAGGAGCAGAAGACATACATGAGCAACACTTAATTTGACAAATTCATCAAGTGAAACTGATTTGAAATGAAGGTTTTAAATGTTGTTCAAACGGTTTGCCTTGTGGCTCATCTATACGACAAAAATGAAGCATATCCACACTCTCCTCCAAAAGTATTGGAATGCCATTTCCTTTAGTTTTGCTGTTCATGTAAAACATTTTGGTTCAACATCAAAATAGGAATTTAACATAGGAGATAAGCTACCAAAACATTTCAGCTTTTATTTCCAGGTACTAACATCTGGATCTGATACATCTTAAAAGACATCATCGTTTGAATTCAACATTTTAGTTTTAAGGCAAGCAAAAGTATTGGAACAGGCAAAAATTGCATCAAGCCTGTGACCCGTTGACTTCACCAAATGCTGCATTCTGCTTCTGTGTGCTTTTCCAGCATTTCTGAAAAATCCACCATTTTATCCATCTCATGCGGCGGCTATTTTGCCGTGAATAATTTTCTCAAAGATGTGTAGTAACAAACCAGATGAGAACCCCAAAGGAGTTCTACGATTTGGTGATGCGAAAGGGCTGAGAGCACTGTTGTTCTGAAGAGTTGTCAGATATCATTCGATTGGGGTCAACGGAATGGACACACAGGCACAAAGTTTCTTGCTATTTATTATTTGAATAACCACTGTGACAGGACACACCTAACAAACTAAACACACCTGTCAATCACAAGTGCCAATACTTTTGTTTATGTAAAAAAAATGCATGCATTGAAACCAAAAGGGCCATATATTTTAGGCTATATATCAGACCCAGAAGTAACTACAGTCAAACCTCAGTTTTCGAAACTCTCTGTTCTCGACCAAATCGGTTTTCGACCAAAAGTTTCGAGTTTTTTATGCCTCGGATGACGTCCGAATTTCGGTTCTCGAACAAATTGAGCACACTTGAATGCGTCACTTGACTCCTCTCAACTTCCTTACACGAGGAAGCGTCACTTTCTCGGGTAGACGAGGAAGTGACACTTCCTCGTTTAGCGTTCCATGGTGAACAGACGTGTTCAATAGAGATTTTTTTTTTTTAAAGTGTGTGGTTTCGGTTTTCGAACTAATCGGTTTTCGAACAGCCTTCTGGAACGGATTATGGTCGAAAACCGAGGTATGACTGTACCTGTAAATAAAAGCTGACATTATGTCGTCTCATAATTGTCTTGTAATGCCAAACCCAAATGTTTTATGTCTACAGTGCAAATACTGCAATTGTTCCACTGATGCAACCCTCTTATGCACATCAATGAATTCAAACGATACTCACACATTCATGAATGAAAAAAAAAAAAAAAAAAAAAACACATAAATATAATTCCAAACATAAATTTGGCTGCTATACATTGGTGAGTCCTTCATGCTTGTCGAAGTGAATTAATTTTACCATTAAGCCTGCCACAATGGCAATGACATTAGTGATGGCGTACACCAAGATGCGGGCCTCGGCGTGCACGCTGATGTGCCTGAGAACCGCACCGTGCACCAGAGCGCCAAGCAGGAAATTGACATGGCCCACCAGCACCAGTGCCAAGCCCATCTTCATCAGGGTTTTGTTGTCTTTGAGGTTAGCACAGCACACCCCTACACAAGAAGAAATATGTTAACTTCCAGCACTGGTGGGAACTAATTACAAATACTGTAGGACTGTACATAAGTAGATTTTTCATGTATTTGTTCAGTACTTCAGCATTTTTGTTTCTGATTACTTTACTTTGACTCCTGTTTAAAAATATGTAAAAAAAAAAAAAAAAAGAAAAAGAAAAGAAAAAAGTGAATGTTCGACACCTTGTGTAAATAGGCTTGTTACTTTTGCATCCTCCGCGGATGACGATAACGGTAAAATCAACTGTGGTTGAATTGAGAATTTTGGGGCCTTATTAGGCCGTGGGAGAGGGGGGCAGCAAGACGAAAGAACGGGAACCATCCAGTTTCGAGCGTTACCAACCACAGCAACGGTATTCAGAGAAGCAAGACAATCTCTGTTCATTGACGTTGTCAGCTCGCTACAATTATCATTCGTAACAGATGCGTTGTGACAGCCTAAAAACCACCAGCTTCTGGTGTTCAAAAATCCTCCATGTGAGAAAAAAATATATGAAAAATAAGGGTGTGTGTGTGTGTGTGTGTGTGTGTGTGTGTGTGTGTAGATATTTTTTTATGTTCTCGTTAACCAATTTAGTTTTAGCAAAACTATGAGAACATGTTTTGATAGCATAAAAGCTGAGCTGTTCTTGCTGAGTGGTGTTGCTTCGCATTGCTCGCTTTACAACAAGACTATCCCCTTCTTATAAGCGCTCTGTAGATTAAGCTTTTTAAATCAATCGTGAAAAACAATGTTATTTTCTCTTGAGCACCCTACAGGATGGGCTCTGTAAAACCCCACTATCTCAACAAAGTTAACAAAAGGTTTGGATGGGGTGTAACATATATCTTCCCCGAGGGTTGAGTGCTGTTAGTTTCTTGCTAGACCAACTTGATGTTTTGGGTCATAATATTAGTTTGTTCACTGCCATTCACATGTACACATGAACTGATGATGAAAACATTTCAGTCTGTTTACTGTGTACAATCACTTTAAATATATACGCCTGCTCTCCGTTGAGATCCAATACAAGAGATGAATCCAACATTCCAATTCAAGTTTTGACGTTATCGAAGAGGGTTAGAACTGCTTTGAATAACACTCACCAATGCTTACCACACTTATCGGCATCACCTCTCAGCACAATGCTGCAGCAACGTTTGACCAATAACACAATAAACATTTTGTGAAATGATGTGAAATTAATGTGTCTGATAG